TTTCGATATATATGTAACAATTTAAAAAGTTTTTTTAATAATCATATATATTAATTAATTATATTTATTATATAGAAATTTACTTACGATTAATGAAGTAAGAAAAAAGTTTTTCGTGCTCATAGATGATGTTGATTTACTTTCTTGTAACATTTTCAGTTAATGGAATGCTTTTTTTTAATGTATTAACATTTTTAGACGAACATCGAGCAAATTTAAAGCATAATTAAAAACTATATTAATTAAATGTTTTAATTGATTAATAAATAAAAAATCATTGCTTTAATGATAGTTAACTATCATAAAATATTTGCTGAATCAACATGAAAAAATTAGGAATAATATCTACTTTAAAAATTTAACATTTTGTACATATATGTGAACAAAGTAACGATGTAAAATGAAAAGACCACGTGGACATTATTATATAATGATCACTTCACAAGTTAATCATTTACTTGTATAATTGTATTATACCTTCAAATCTATATTGTCATAGCTGCTAGCGAAACCTAACCTTATCTCATGTACTCTGAAATTTTACTATCTGAATTAGGAAAAGCTTTTGTTTTGAAGACAGTTTTCCACTAGAAGAATAGATGAAGATGTGTGACAGAAAATTACTAGATATAATATATATAGAAAATTGATGTAATTACGTCATGAAATCTGTTTCATGCAGTATGAAGAAATTCTTAGCTTTTGTATTTGCCATGTTTCGATTAGTCAGGAGCACGAAAGAAATTTCTGAAAAATGATCAACTTGATGTTTTAGATATTGTTAAAGTGTTCACATAACCTTGAAATTCATTGACATCCTTTTCGGCGGGAATCTCGAAACATTTATGTTTTCATTTGATCCATAAAAATGTCTCAAAATATTTTGAAAAGCAGCTTAGAAAATGCTTCCTTCAATATTATATTTCAGGTATTACACTATTGTAACAAATGTTAAAACTATTTTATTTTATAGCAAGAAATATCATTTTCTTTATGAGAAAACTTTTATCACTTTTATAAATATGAAAATAGTATTAATAATTATAATTTTATTTATTTGCTTATTTGATAAAGTCTGATATTTTTATTAATATATAATAATTTCTAAGAAAATTAAAATATAAGAAAAAATTATAACTTCTTTTTAGATATTGTGCAGAGGAGTTACTTTTGTTTTAAATGCTTTTGTTGTTCGTCATGTGGGTCAAGCTGTCTTAGGAGTCATAAATGTGAGGCTATTATTATTGGAATCAATGATCTTATTTCTATCTCGAGAACCATTCATGAAAGCATGTTTAACTAATACAGTAGAGCACAATTGGGCTCAAGTTGTAAATTTATTATGGATGACGTTAGTCTTTGGAATTTATTAATTATAATATAAATGAAATCTAAATAAATATCAATTATAAATATATTAATTGTAAATATCTTTTCAGGGTTCCTATATGTTTTTTAATGTCTTTGATGTTTGGCTATATTTGGCTTTCTGTTTTATCAACTTCTGAAACATTACCATCATATTATACATTTGCAGTTTGGGCAGTTGCTTTATCTTGTATTATTGAATTATCATCTTTAATTGTTCAATTGGTTGCTAGTGCATTTTTATTTGTTAGGTTGAAAGTAAGAATTTATGTTAAAAATAATAAAATGCATGAATTAAAAATAATTCAAAATTTATTTATAATCCATTATAATTAAATGTATTAAATTTTTTAGATTATACTGGATACTATCATGATTGCTATTCGTACTGTAACATTTGTTCCATTGATACTTCATAATCCAGAAAATGCATTGTTAGCATTTGGTATAGCTCAATTAGTTGCAGCAGTATTTTATACTACTAGTCATTATTTATATTTTCATTATTATATTAAAAAAATTAATAAGTGTAAGTTAAAGAGAAAAATGTCATTGAAAGATAGTAGTGATGAATATGTTGTGAGAGAATTTCCATTTAAAACATTAAAGGATTTTTTGCCTGGACAATTGGAAAATAAAGTATGTATTGAAATAAATCTCTTATATATTATGTATACAAACTGTTACTTTTAGGAATCATATCTAGATAAAAAATTGACTATTCTTACATGGAGTTTCTTTAGACAAGGATTTCTAAAGCAAGTTTTAACAGAAGGGGAAAGACTAATTATGACGGTAATGCCAGTGTTAACTTTTACTGAACAGGTATTTATTTAATAATAAATATTAGTTTATTAAAATTATTTTTTTATTTAATTTTATTTTCATATGTTTAAAGGGAACATACGAAATTATAAATAATTTAGGTTCTTTAGCTGCAAGATTTATTTTCCGTCCAATAGAAGAAAGTGGTTATTTTTATTTTACCCAAATGGTAAAACGAGACAAACCAGTTAATGATCAAAATCCTGTAGGTATCAAATGAAAAATTTAATTTGTATCTAAGTATTATAAATTATTAAAAATATAATAATATAATAAAAAATAATAAACTTATTTCAGATTAAAATACAAGAAAGTGTAAATGTGCTTACACATTTGTGTTCAGCTGTTATGTCAATTGGTTTAGTTGTTTTGGTATTTGGACAATCATATTCAAGTACATTATTATGGTTATATGGTGGTGCTAAATTAACTTCACATCTACCAGTACTTTTAATGCGAGCACATTGTTTAGCTATATTACTTTTGGGAATAAATGGAGTAACAGAATGTTATACTAATGCAACAGCTGATAGTACAACTATAAACAAGAGTAATTTGATTATGATTTACGAATCAATTGCATTTTTATGTGCATCCTATTTGTTTGCTATTTGGTTTGGACCAGTTGGTTTTATCCTTGGAAATTGTGTAAACATGAGCTTAAGAATTCTACATTCTATTATTTTTATCAATAAAAGATATAAAGATACAATGTACCGTCCATTACGTGGATTAGTACCAAAGCCTATGTTTTCTGCTTCTCTTCTCATAGCAGCATTGACCACTAATGTGTCTCATGTAAAAAAATTATATTATTTATTTTTTTATATATTAGTAGAAAATTTTCTACTATAGATTATAATTTTTATGTTTCAGGCTTATTTTTTCCCAAATGAGAAGATATTGCACTTAATTATTGGGATGATAATGTTTATGATAGTACTTGTATCTTGGATATATGAGCATCATGATTTAATTAGACTTGGTACAAACAAATGGTATGAAAGAAAAAATATATATAAAAAAAATGATTGACCTTAAATATATTTCTAATTATGGTTTCTTGATATTTATTATTTATCTAAATTGTCTACAAAGGTGCTATAATATATAACTTTTATTAAAATATAAAATTTAATAGTTATGTATTTTCTATATTATTATGATCAAAATCAAGTACAAGTTTTCTTATCTTAGAAAATACATTATAAAATTACTTATTTTATAATGTAATAAATTAAGTTTATGTATAAACAAAATAACATATACATAATGAAGCTTAGTTTAAATATAATCTATTAAATAATATTATCAATTTGAGTAAAAAACTATTTTACATAGAAACATCCTTATAAATGGCACCTACTACTGCACCTTGGCGTTGTATAAGGCATTTCCTATAAAATAATTTATGATGTTTTTAATATTAATTTAATGCAATTTTTTATTTAAAAAAATGTTAAATTTCAAAGTTGTTTAATAAATTTGTTGAATTATAATTTTTATATTACATGGATCTAATTCTAATACAAAATAAAATAAATTTTTTAATATTACCTGTTATCATTTTGGAGAGAAATAATTGGAGATGGTGATTTAGGTTCTAATTTTGCAACTTGATCAGCAATAGCTGCAATTATTCCTGCACTGTCAGTAGATGCATTTCCTTTAACTAAAAAAAATTTATTTTAGGATTATGTTTTCAAACGATATTAAATTTATTAAATTTAAACATAATTAGAAAGAAATACCTCCTAAACATAATCCAGCATGATCAGCCAATATACAACCAATGATACCTTCAGTATTATTTCTATTAAAAATATTGAATTTTAATAATGATTTTAGTTTTTCAATAAATATTATGATTTGATTTTATTTATTTTATATTTTTCATTATATATAATGTTTCATCAAATAAATACAATTTTCAATTTTCAATAGCTATTTAAGGTTAAGTATTATAATTTTTGCATTTTTTATATAGAAAGAACAATCTAAGTATTGAATATTAATAAAAATAAGAATTATTTAATTATTTTTAAGTTTTATAAAAAATTTATATCAATATAATAATGCAAACACTGATTATCATAATAGTTATATCGCAAGGATAATATGAAATTTTTTGTATTAAACTTACACATCATCTAATGTTTTTTCTAGATTCTTTTCCATTTCAAAATTTAAATTAATTATAAAATACACAAAATATAAATAATTACTCGTTAAAAAATTGGTTTTATATGATTTTCATAAATGACTTCTCTTCATTTATAGAAAATTTATATACAGTTATCTTATTCTGCAACAAATTTAATTGAACAATTCAATACATCGTAATAGCAAATTCCTTATCGATTATCATTCTAAATGGTGTTACAAAAAAGAATCTTTGTAATTTATATATTTATAAAATTCAAAACAAAGTTTCATTGTTAATATGATTAATATGATTAATTAAATTTGATAAAACAACTTTTTATTATTAAATAACTGTATACAAATTTTATTGATATAATAAATTACTTTGTTATAACTAATATATAAAAATGTTTTAATCATTACATATAAATTATATGTTAATATTACAAACATAATTTCATTCAAACAGAATAAAATATTTTTTTAATTTCTAATTTTTTTAAATAAAAATAATAAATAAATTGTATTATTTTTATATGATTATATAAATAATAATTTATTATAATTAATATTAATTCAATACTTATAATTATTATTAATTCAATATTGAAATACAAAAATGAATTTTTTTTATGAAGAATCTTATACATATATAAATATATATGTACTTCGTCACCCTATATAAATAATATCACATCGTAAGTGATTTGGACGACGTGACTAGTACAGTGACAATCATGGCTGGTAAGTGTGGAGATCTGCTCTGTTTTCTTTCAATTATTTTTACGACAGAACTATGAAAAATAGGAAAAATGTAAAACTTCTATGTTAACATATTTTTTTACTTTATTTTTTTTTTTATTAAAACAAAATATTATTCAATTCATTACAGTATTAAATTTGCATAATATTATGCATTTACTGTCCTAATTTAAGAAATCACTAGAAAAAAAAGTGATTTGAATTGTATTTTTCTATATTATTATTTCATGATATATGTATCTATTTTAAATTACTAATTTTAACATTAAATTAAGGAATTTTTTTTAAATTAGAAACATAATATGATATTACTCATGATACAAGATTATGACACCTGTTACATTTGACAATTTACTAGTATCTACATACTATCATCTATATAGTTTATATTTTTAATGAATTCTTTTAATTTTATAACAATTG